TTAGAATCAACTCATTTTTAATTAAAAAATTATTAGCCAACACCAAACCAAATAATGCGTCTGGACCTGATGGTATTCCAGCTAGATTACTCAAAGAACTTAGCAATGAGCTAGCCCCAGTGTTCAAAATACTCTTTCAGGCTTCGCTTAACCAGGGCAGAGTACCAAAGGACTGGAAAGAAGCTAATGTCACCCCCCTATTTAAAAAAGGAGAAAAATCTGACCCAGGAAACTACAGACCAGTATCACTTACCAGCATTATATGTAAAATCCTAGAACACATAATATGTAGTAACATCATAAACCACTAGACAAACATAATGTCCTCACACCATACCAACATGGCTTTAGGAAATATAGATCATGTGAAACACAACTAATAGGACTAATTGATGATTTTTCTAAAAGTTTAGATAATAGTGAACAAATAGATGCTATCTTACTAGATTTTTCTAAGGCTTTTGACAAAGTTCACCACCATAGTTTGCTTAAAAAATTAAAATATTTTGGCATTAATGGACCACTGCATCAGTGGATTAAAGATTTTCTGATAGGGAGAGAACAAACTGTAATAATAAATGGCTCTAAATCAACACCGATAACAGTAAACTCAGGTGTACCTCAAGGAACAGTCTTGGGTCCACTACTATTTTAATTTACATAAATGATTTACCAAATTGCATTACTTCAGGTACAAAAGTCAGATTATTTGCAGACGATTGCATAATATATAGAACAATAAAAACAACACAAGACACAGATATTTTACAAAGAGAATTAGATGAATTACAGAAATGGGAATCAAATTGGAGGATATCTTTTCACCCAGAAAAATGTTAGTTGTTAAGAGTAACAAAAAAACTAAAACAAATTAATTCCACTTATCTTATTCATTTCAAACCAGTGACACAGACTAAAAACGCAAAATACCTAGGTGTTATAATAAATGAAAAACTGTCATGGAATCCATATATTGATGAAACTATAAAAATAATCAAACAAACCATTAGGATTTATTAAAAGAAATTTCTATAAATCAAATAAGAACATAAAACTAAAATGTTATTTAACCTTGGTTAGGCCAATAATAGAATATGCATCTTCCGTTTGGGACCCCTCAACTCAAGAAAACATTAAGAAACTGGAACAGACACAAAATAGAACAGTGAGATTCATAACAAATGAATATTCACATTTGACTAGAGTAACACCTTTAGTAAAATCACTAAATTTAGAAAGCCTTCAGGACAGAAGACTCAAAAGTAAAGTAGCAATTATACATAAAACACTGAACCATAATCTTCAAATACAAAAGCAAAATTTAATAAAATACTCTGAAAGATACAAAGATAAAGGCACATTCCTCGTCCCATATGCTAGGACAAATTTGTACAAATACCCCTTCTTCCCTAGTGCTATTAGAGCATGGAATGGGTTGCCTGAGCTAGCCAGGAAAACCAGTGACTTGGCAGAATTTAAGTCATTGGTTAATATGCATGACTAAATGCATGACGCGTAGGATGTAATCATCTTTTTTTTTGAAGTAACGTCTGTATTATATAAGATAAGATAATAAATTAGCTTTCTATTGAATTTTCTTTTCAATGTCTCAACTAGTTGATGACCTAGAAATAGAAAAAAGTCCCCTTTCAGACCTTGCGATCTATAGGACAGATGATGTAAAGGTCATATGTTACTGTGGCCCCTATTGACAAGGGTGTCATGTGGCTAGCATAATGACCAATCGCTTTTACTTTACCCAACTTGAGAGTCAGGTACCCATTACATCTGGGTGGACTCAGAGGCACCCAATGATCCCAAGATTGAAAATCACAGCCTTCACCAGAGTTTGAATCAGGGACCCTCCGTTCAGAAGCCAAGCGCTTTATCAATCAGTCACCATGCCATCTATTTTTACCTACAAAATGTTTAAAATGACAATAAAAAAAAAAGACTTCTTGTTTAAAAGTTTAACATAAATGACTAGGCCTATAAAAGTTTATTTGAATAATCAACTGGGATGTTAAGATATATTTTTTTGTCAAGACTAAACAAATCCCAGTGTGGACAGAGGTAATGCTTCTTGTTTGACAGTGTCACTTGTCCAACTTTGGATGATCATATACCAAGGGATTTTGGGTGAGGCATTTTTCAGACATCATATACTGGTTTCTGAAATAGATGGCTAGAGAATTCTCATTTTGACCCATGTAGATGCATTTAAAACACAATGGAAAGCTACCATGAAAGAAAAAAATGTTGGTGAATAGAAAACTACAGCTCATCCCTGGCACACAACAATTTTCTCTGCATCAGCTATGTAGCTTAGTCTTTACTAGTCTTAATGCCTTATTGCTATTTGCAGGTTATTATTCAATGTATAGTTTGTGAGTCTGACTTGTTAAGGTGGTAAAAGTTTGTGAATCTGACTTGGTAAGGTGTCTACAAGTCTAACACTCACATTCTTTTCACCACCTGTTTTGTTTTTAATCTCAGGTAAAAAAAAAAGGATTTAGAATGCTAAGCATGATGTACTTGTTCTGCAGTCATTTCTTTCTCTTCCAATAGGTATTTTCAGCTGTGGTAATATTTGGGCTCTACCATGGTTTGGTCTTCTTGCCTGTAATACTGAGCCTAGTTGGTTCTAGCCCTTACCTGCAAGCCAAGGATGTACCCACCGACAGGACAATGGATTGTGATGAAGAAGCCACCAATACAATTTTAGTTAGTGATCATGCTGCAGTGACTAAGAATAACATTGAATTGATCCATGCAGATTTTAGTAACAGCCGTATGTAGCAGTTTAAAATGACATGGTTCTCTTGAAATAGTCTTAGCATGCACAAATTATAGGTGCACCTAGTGTCTCATGGAACAGACCTAACTAGATTGACATGATTTCTTCTAACTAGTGAATGACATTGGCTCTATAGTTCTAGTTTAATTAGGCTATAAGTCATACTTGTGCTTAATGTGTGCTGCAGCCATCAAATGTGATATCATTTTATGCTTTCTACCCTGCGCTCCTTTGAATTATATTGTTCTTTAAGTGGACAGAAGCATTGCACTATTAATTCTGGTAACTTTTTCTATTTACACCACATTTATTTCCTATGATTGTTTAAATCATAGTTTTTGTTTTCATGAAACAGTATTCACAATTGATTTAGTCAGTGAATGGAAACATTTATTTCTTCTATATCAAAACTGAATATTAAGTTTAACTCCTGTGAAGGAATGGAGTTGGGCTCAAACGTATCTAAGTCATTCAAGATATACCGGTAGTCATGTTGAATTCTTTTTGAATAATGTTTTTCTTAACAGCTTTATATGATTGTTGATTGGTACATTTTATTTACACAACAAACATGGCAATGTACTTATTTTTGTAATAATGATATTAGTCTTGTCACTAAATTAGATGTTAAATAACATTCAACAATAATTCAACAAAATATACTCATTTATAATTGTTTTGTCTACATTACACTCGCATTGGTTTTATTTAAATCTTCATTGGAGTCGTTAGTTTTTATTGTTTACTTAGAAGTGTTTTACTTGTGAATAGAAACACAGCCTGGAGAGCATCGCTACACTTTCTGAACAAAGTCAACCTCCAGTGTTCAGTAATAAATGGCTGCCTGGTCGTGCGGTTTGCACACTGGACTGTCGTTCAGATTTATTGATGGTCCTGGGTTCAAACCCTGCCTGCTCCCATCCCCCTTCGTCCTGCGGGAGGTTTGGACTAGGAAGTAATTATCTTCAACTCTGAAGGAACATCCGAAACATGTAAAACAAACAAATTGTCATGTTCATAGTTAAGGGTTGGTCTCCTATTATGTCGTTTACTACATTTTGGATGTACAGGTCCAAACATGAATTAATCTACTATTGTTATCATACATTTTTAGTGGAAACAGTTTTAGATTCTCAAGACATTTACTTTTTTGTTGTTTTCAATGTGATGTTCAGTTGATGTGGTTCACCCTTTGTGCTATACTCAAATTGTTTATTTATTTTTTTGATTAATGATCTCATTATATATACATAAAGTTGGTTTCTGTGTGTGTGTGTGTGACTTACATTTATTTATGTTGCCAGAGCTTTCGAATATTTGGTTTAACTATGTTTAACATTATGCTATCTTTGATACGGCTTGACCAATGTCATAGGAAGCAGACTACAGATGAGATGTAGATGTTTAGTGATACGGCTTGACCAATGTCATAGGAAGCAGACTACAGATGAGATGTAGATGTTTAGTGATACATTACTAGTTCATTTGAGTTTTTGTACATTATTATTTTAAATCTTCTGACTTTTGACTATTTTATTTTGCATTCTTAAATTCTGTAGAAATTCCAGAGTCCTACTTGATATAGGCCAGTGACAATCAGGTTGATCAATGAAAACATTTGCTGCAGATTTGTCTGTAATTTGAGAACATCAAGAACATTGCTTTGACTTAGTATCTACACTTATTAAGTGATGAGATTTTGACATTCATGAGCTTCTACTCATTATAAACTTTGCTTGATCATTTTATACTCAATGTTTTACAATTCTTTAGGTTCATTTTTGAATGAGAATAATAACTAATAAATAATGTTTTTTCAAGGAATAAAAATTATTTTAAAGATAAATGGCTTCGATTTTTGTAGGGACTATAACTTTTAACATTAACAGATGTTTCTTTCATATTCTATTTGTTATGCCCCTTATCTCTACAATGCATTAAGAGAACATTTTACAGAACATTAGATCTAAATGCTATAGAATCCATTTCTTTGGTCTACTATATTTTTTTCAAAACATCTTAAATGAATAATAGACCAATGGTCTGTATATTTGTGTTAATTCCTACTATTAATGCTTTAAATAAATAAAAAATCTTGCAGAATGATCATGAATTCATCATGACTCTATTAATATTTCTTTAATGTTGTATTGTTTAACAAATTCTAGAAATACTTTTCCAAATAAAATTGAAAGAAAGAATCATTGTTTGTTACTATCTTGATGTTTATTTGCCAGAACTGGATCCATTCGTCTTGAGAGGGAGGGGAAGGCTAATGAATTCATAGAGATGAAAACACAGAAATGTTCAATACATTTTGAGTGTTAATAGAATGACCAGAGGGAATGGGTTAAAGTAGAGCCAACATTACTAAAAGTTAATAATCATTGCAAACTAGTACCAGACCAAGCAAAAAACATCTTGTTCTATTAGTTAGCCACTTCGTTACTTCAATATATTCAGTGATCTTAGACATAGACCACAACACATATACAGTCAACATTTGAAGTGGCTACAGATTCTCACTGATCTTAGACCACAACACACACAGTCAACATTTGAAGTGGCTACAGATTTTTAGTGATCATCTTAGATATAGCCCACCACACATACACTTTACTCACACCATGTGATGAATGATTGTTTTTGTTCTATCCACACATCCTTTTAAATCACATTAGTTCCTAGCTTTAGCCCAATGAGCAACACCACAAAAATGACAGTATTCTCCTTCAAATTACTTAAAAGGAATCAACTCTTTTAACAAATGTGCTGAATTTGAATGAGAAGCTAAAATCTACATTTGTAAAAGAAAGGAAACAACATAATTGCCCATTAAGTATTCAAGGAGATCTACACTTCACCAAGAAATGACAATCTAAGTTTAAATCAAATCTAAAAACAATGTTTTGCTCTAAACTAACACAGTGCTAAAAAAAAACAATTCAACAGTTGACAGGTTATGTTTACAAAGTACAACTTAAAGAGAGAAAGATAATCATTTTTTAAAATGAATATATTTCATCATTGCGGTACAATGTAATACTACCATAAGTATTACTCTGTTTTTAAAATGTATACATCTTTCAGATGGAAACAAATAAATACAAAATAAATTATGGCTTTTTTTTTTATCTTAGATTTTTTTGTTTGCATGACAAGAAGATACTTTAGAATTATCATTGTAAACTAATGTCTAAAAAAATAAAATGAAAGTAAGAAAAAAAAAAGAATTTTATAACAAGTTACAATTAGATTATTTCATTTGAAACATTTCTTTTTAGTCATCATAGCATAGCTAAAGCTAATCAAATCTTGCTGGTTATAGTTAGACTAGCTAAAATCAATAAAATCTTGCTGGCTTTAGTTAGACCATATGTTGTCCACTTTGTGAGACAATAAACACAACCACATTTATTACTGCATTAAATTACATTGACTAATTTAAAAAAAAAAAGGGAAAACAAGTTATAAAGCAGCTTTAATATTCACACAGATCATGTCTTTTGACATGAAAATGGCAATTGTAATTGAAGCAGATGCAATGACATTTAAAATAGATAGTTGTCATGAGTTATGTACCCTGTTCAAACCCTCTTAACAGCTTCCCTAACTCAAAATAAACCCTATCTAGAACTTTGTCATCTTTACTGTATCTCGAAGAAAGTCAGTCTGTAGAGATGACCAAAAAAAAAAAAAGATTTCATTGTCAGGATTTAAGGTCTGTACAGACATTTACAATGCTATTCTTCCTGGGTCGAGATTTATTGCTAGCATCCACTGTGCAAACATTTATTTGCATTAATGTTTATTGTAGTTACATACTAGCAAAAAAAAAGAAAAGTTAATTAAAGTATTAATTTAGTTTCTTCAAAACTGTGTGTCCTCTTTTTATTTTAAAGCATCAGAAAAAAACATGAAAAAACAAAAACTAGAAAACAATATTAGCTGACTTAAAATTTAACAGTCAAAGAATGTTGCTTAAGAGAATCAAATATCCATACTAGTTTAAAATAACATAAAAAATAATGAAAGTAGCAGCTCGTTCATCAGACTTGAGATATAATTACACTAAAACTAATCATAGCCATAATTCCCTGATAACAAACAATTAGATCAGAATTGCAGGTTTGACAAAAATATTCTGTTTATATTTTAAAGCATTTAAAAGAAATCTGTAAGCATCAGAGAAGACATAAATGGTTAAGTTTTATTTTTTAATGAGAACTCAAGAATTAAAAAAAACATTTATGGGAATTTATAGACATACCATCAAAGTATGGTAAAAAAATAATTGCAATCCTATCAAGTACTGTTTTTAACAATTGATCTTTAAAAAGATAAGCTAATTTTAAATCATGGAAAATTTAAAATATAACCTGATGAAATATAAATAGATAAAAAATAAAATCTTTGAAAACATTGTCTAAGAAAGTCATGAATAAAAGAGGTCATTGCAAAGAATTGAAACATTTCAACATTTATTATGTTGTCAACAAGTTCAAAAAATTGATATTGCAATCACTTTCTGAGATCATGCTGGAGTTATTTACAAATACTTAACAAGAGTAGTGATAACATATGGAGATACCATATGATAACACGAGGGGATACCATGTGATAACACAAGAGGATACTATGTGATAACACAAGAGGATACCATGTGATAACTCAAGGGGATAGCATCAGATAACACAAAGGAATACCATTGATTAAACAGTGATACCATAAGGGACATCTTGTGAAAGTAAGTGATACCACATTATAACATATAATACCGAGTGTGAGCTTTGTCATGGAGCTATCAGTGTGTACAGAGTTACCTTGCATGCATAAAGTAGCACCAAAGTTCATATTAAGGGTTACTTTGTTTTTCATTATCACAACATTCCAAAAAAAATTGGAGTCAAACAATGAAGCTCTTTAGTTGTTGATGGCTGGAACATACTCTGTGAAAGTCCTTGATCAAAATTATCCTCCAAGATACATTTAGACAATCAGAGTTTATACAAGGAGTGCCTTTTAATCCAAATCTGACCAGGAGGAATGAAGAGGTTTGGCTGCATACATCACCACTACAACACAATTCTACGCAATAGAGTTAGAGCAATTAAATATAATTCTGTTTCAATTCTTGACATTGAACTTCTATTTTTACACATTTTTTTAGTTTATTTTTATACATAAGATGGCTGTAAAAAAGCTCTAAGACAATTTAAATAAAAAAAAAAAAGTGCAATGTCATGGTTTAGTATTAGATGCCTTTGCAGCAGAGCTTAAAAATTGTTTAGTAATTAAACAAACTATTGCAAAATTGATTGAGAATCACAACACAATAAATGAATTCATTAAACACTATTTGTTTACTCTAAACAATCTTTTGTAAATTAAAACTCTAATACTCAGAACAATTTCCTAGAGTTTGCTCTAGACTTCTTTTGTTTTTATTTATTTTCAATCCATGAAAGTTTTAGTCTGTTCTTTTACTGTTTTTGTTAATCATCTAATCTAGAGCTCAAGTTAATAGCTCAAAACTTGATAAGAATATTGTCTTATTGTTTATGATGAATGAGATATCATACTAATAGGTGTAAGCCTTCTCATGCCACCAAACAGATTTGAATCAAGTGTGTTTTAAGCTAAATAGAAATTGTACTCATAACTTTTAAATATGGAACGACAATGAAGCTCTGACTTTGTTGACATGTTGCAAGGAACTTTAAGTATTGACCAACTCGTATATATTTAGGCAGCATTAAGTTTAATGGCTTAGAGTGAAGTAATGTCTAGTTAATCTACATTAAATATGAGAACAAAATATGATCACTACTGTGATATAAAGTTAGTCAAAGTTAAAAAGAGTTTATAGTTACACTTTTTCTTGTAACTTTAAGTTATCATTTGTAAAAAGTTAACTCGTAAGTTAAACTAGGAATAGAAACTATTATTGACAAAAATACTTGTCTGAAAACTAATTTGAACTTTTCAGTCTTACTCATTAACTGTGTAAAATAACAACAAATTATCCTAAAACAACAACATATCCTTAATAAATAAATAAATAGGTTAAGATATGGATGCAAACAAGTGTTACACTAATGATTGTGGCAAGATAGATGACTAACTGGCAGCAATAAGTGACTGCTGGACAATTTACAATTATATGTTGTAATAAATCGTAAAATGTGAACTGCCAGCTCTAGAGCAACTTCTTTTGACCATTGACTTCTTATTGAATAATGGGTAATGAGAAAATGAATTGAAAAAAAAACATTGAATAAAATAAATTGTAAGTTACAAAAATATGGCTATAAATGTTTTTACAAGTACCTCCCATCACATTTTTGACTTGCCAGCTAAATATTTTGTTGAACAGTGTAATGATTTTAAAAAAAATTGTCTTGAATTTTGATGACCTAATTGTAAGAGTTTAGTTTCAATAAATACAATAATTGTGTAGCTTACATCATAAATGACTTTTCTTCAATGGTAAATATACACATATGAATGAAGATGCAATAGACAATAATAAAACATAATAATATCAATAGCAATTATTTTGCTTACGTTGATAATATCATTATGATGTTAACAAAGACAATAACAAAACCTGCTACATAAAATATACTTTTCAATTGTATAATCTTTAAAATGGATACAAACATTAAGAACAAAAAAAAAATGGATGATAAAAAAAATGAGCTAAGGTGGTAATTATTGCTGTTTTACATGGTTAAACAGTCCCTTTGTTTTCCAAAACAAAGATATATCAGAACTATCATGTTTAACATTTCTTGTTATCAACTCAAAACAAAAAATGAGGAAAGTTAGTCCTTATAAACACAAACTATTTCTGGTATTCAATAATTTCTATTGTAGTTTATTTCTGTTGTTCTTAAATTAATATTTTATTAAATATTAAAAAAATTATAAAATTATGATTTTTTTTTTAGGAATTAGGAAAACACAAACTTTTAAAATTATTTTTGGAGATGACACTTTTCTATTGATTATGTAGTCCTAATTTTTCAAGAAGAATACAGTATATTAAGGATAGAATAAGTTTTATATAGCTTAACTATCATTAATTAGAAAAGATTTATATAAATTTGTCTTTTCTTCCAAAATACAAACGTTACTTCAAAAAGAAGATGATACATCCTAAGTGTGTCCTTATGTCAATCTAGTCATGAATGTTAATAAATGACTTAAACTCTGCAAAGTTTTTGTTTTTCCTGGCTGATTCAGGTAACCAATTCCATGCTCTAGAGAAGAAGGAGCATTTGTACAAATAAAGCTAAAATTCATTAGTTGTATACAATTTATATAAATTTAATAAAGCTTAAAAGATTTTTCTTAAAAGATTTTTCTTAAAAGATTTTTATATTAATATTTATTGGTGGCATTTTATATAAATAAGCTTGATGACTAGAAAACAAAAATGCATAATTTAATGTTGGACATTTTAGATGAGAGTTTTCCAGTTGCAAAATGTGGAGGTGACCTTGAGAAGGGG